TTAGTGTCTGCTCCCCTCTCCCTGCCCCACTGCCCCAGAGTGAAGCTCCACAAAGCCAGGGATTTTTATCTATTCACTGCTTGTCCCCAGCACCTAGAATAGTCTGGAACATAGTAGGGGCCCAAGAAATAGTTGTGAAACAAACAGAACTTTCTCATGTAACTTTCGCATTGACCCTGGGAAGCAAGTACTGTATTATTTTACAGACAGAAAACTGAGGCTCAGAGAGGGCAAATAAGTAGATTTGAACCCCATTCTGTCTGACCTGGAACCCACTCTCTGTCATCAGCCTGTCACAGAGGAGTCTGAAATCTGTGCTTCCCTCCTGCTGACCCCACAGTTCTTATACCCTCTCAAGCAGACATGGCCCAGCCTCCCCCTGGTCTCCCTGCCTCCAGTCTCTCCCATTCACTGACCTCCCTGGCCGCAGGAATCCTTCTAAGCACAGATCTGACTATGTCCTTCCTTTGCTCAAAACCCTTCAATGGCTCCCTACTGCCCCAAGTCAGCCTGCCATTTGAGGCTCCTGCTAACTTTTCCAGACTTATTTCTTGCTTCATCTTATGCAAAAGCCCTACAGGACAAGCTTGTTCTCAGCTGTAAGTCTTTGGACATGCACGTCCCTCTGCTTGGAACACCTCACTCGCTATTTGGAAAAGCCCTGCTCCTTATGTGCCCTCAGCTTGGGTGTCACTCCCACTGGAGAGAAGAGAGTAGAGGTTAGCGTCTCCTTCCTGTCCTCGTGGTGTCATAAGTTTCCTTCCAGCTCCACCCTGATCCCCACCCTCCCACCAGGGCTCCAGAGCTGTGAGCTCCCTGAGGGCAGGGACCATGACTAATTTATCTCCAGCTCTGGCTTGAGGCCAGGTCCAGAGCAGGTCCCAACAAACGTTGGATGTGTAGGGAGTCAGACTCCCCACCTCGTATCCCAGCTTCACTATTTACCAGCCGGAAGCCCATGGACTTGTCCATATATTCCCTGTGTCTCAGTTTCCTCATCTGTGAAAGGCCGATTATGAAAATACCCACTCACAGGGTAGGGATGAAATGGGTTATACATGGGAATCACTCGGTACAGTGCCTAGTGCTCAATCAATATTACCCACTAGCAAGGGAGGGAGGGAGGCAGGGAGGGAGGGAGAGGCGTGTGGGCAGCTGCACAGGTAGGAGCTTGGTCCGGGTGGGCACATCCTTTAAGACAGTCCTTGCTGCTTCACACCCTTGGGGCAGCCCTGTCACTGGCTAAATCTTTTCCCACCACTGCCCTGTTGGGTCTAAGGTGGCTGGTGGAATTCAAGGCCACTGGACCCAGACAGGAAAAGGCAGCGTCACCAGCCCTGATGTAATCCAAACCAGATGTGGCCTCAGTGGCTTCCAGACCCATGGGGGTGGTCACTGAGGGCCTGGCCAAGGCCCAGAGGCAGGAAATGGTCTTGGAGGAGAGCTCTCTGTGCTGGGACCAGCTGGGAGGAACGGTTCCACTGAGGGTGTTAACCCTTCTTAGCCCACAAGGGGGACCAAGGACCCATGGCCCTGGTGCCTTGGAGGCCCAGAGAACCTTGTAGGGGAAGATCACAGCATCGGCACTGTGATGGACACTGTGCAGGAGGAGCCCATGCTCCTGGTACTGTGGCAGGCAGAGCAGACCATGCAAAGGGAAGGGGAGCTCATAGCCTAGCACGCTGGGAACTGCAGAATCCCAGACCCAGAGCCTTGTTCCTAACCCTTGCTCAGTCCTGGCTCTAGCTTGGCGGTCCCAAACCAGTTGTAGACTCACTCCCTCCATCAGGCAACTCCTAGAGTGAAAAATATTTTTTCCCTGCAGCTGCTAGGGATGAGAGCTCTACTGAAAGCAATGGGGCCGAGTCCCAGGCATGCAGAGAGGCAGGCCCAGCTCTACACCGAGGGCTGTGGCCCCAGCTTTGCTCCATTGTGTTCTATGGCCCTCGGGTGGGAACACAATCTCTCTGAATCCCCATTTCCCCATCTATATTCTTGAGTCTATATTCTCTGCCTCCAGGGTCCAGGGGAGGCCCAAAGGAGGCACCTGATGACTCAAAAAGAGTTTTCTAGGATGTGCTCCTGGGAGAAGATGGGGCTAGGTGCAGTGATCAGCCCTGTTCCATGATTCTGGGTGGGCTTCTTGCCCAGCACATGTTAATTTTCTTTGTGGCCTTAGACAAGTCACTTTCCTTCTCTGAGCCCATTTTTTCAGCTGTGAAATATGGTAAATAAGCATCTCTATCCCATCTCTCTCAACTGTCACTGGCCCTAGGATTGGCAGAGGAGAGAAGAACTGAGGCTGTCATTTTCATATTACAAAGGAGGAAACTAAGGCTTGTGCTGGGAGTCAGGAGTCCTGCGTTCTAGTCCCAGCTGTTGCTGTCTCTTAATGAGGGGCCTTCTTGATTTTGGCCTCGATTTCCCCAGCCGGATCCAGACCTGGATTTCTGCTCTGGCTGGACATCATTTTCTCCCCTCCCCCTACAGTGGTGACTCATCCCTCATCATCATGCTGTGTGGCCGAGACTCAGCCTGGGTGGGGGCCAGCAAGGCCGAGAGAACCACTTAGAGGAAACCACAGGCCTGGCCCAGCTGGCAGGTGGTGGTGGGCAGGCAGGCGGGCAGGGATCCACAGCCCTGGGGGCCCTGCCTATAAACACACCTCTCACCAAAAGCCAAAGCCAAGCTCCCCAGGCTCCTCAAGCCCTTGACTGCAAGGGTCATGCTAAGGCTCCAGAGTCCCCAAACCTCACCCCATGTGGCACCTGCTGCAACGGGACTCTACCCACCTGTGGAACAGGGTAGGGATCAGGGTGAAGACCCTGACCTCACCCTCCAGGCCAGTGTTCATGGAGGAAGGAGAGGGATGGGACGAACTGTCAAGGTTTCCATCCATGGGAAAGTCTAAGGTTTCTCAGGAGGCAGGCAGTGTAGTGTTCAAGAGCAAGTGCTCTGGGCCCAGACAGTCTGGGCACAAATCCTGTTCCATCACTGACTAGCTGTGTGACCCTGAGCAGGTAGCTGAACCTCCCTGAGCTTGGCTCCCCCTCTGAGAAATAGACACAGCATTCACCTCACAGGGTAACTGTGGGCAGTTGATGTGATCAGGAACATGGTGCCAGGCCCAGGGCCAGCAGCCAGCAGGTGCTCAATGCGTGTTAACTGCTATCTCTGCTCTTCCTTCTGGAACTCCGATGCCTCCAGAAGGACAGTCCCACTTCTGAGTCAGCTGTGCTCACAGCCTGAAAGGCTGCACCCTATTAGGGTTGAGCTCTCTTGCCCTCTGGGCTGACCCTCCCTCCAGCAAATGGAGCACCCCCTGCACTGTTGGCCTGGGGTGAGGCTGGCTATGGCCAGTGGGAAAAGCAGAGGACAGCCCTCTCCCCCGAGGCCTCCCAGGAGACCCCCATCACTGCAGACCCAGCAAAGGCATCGCAGGCCCACCCGACTTTCTGGCTTACACCTGGAGACCCTGCTTTCTGCTAACACTTTGTCTGGGGAGAAGCAGAATGAGCTCATGGCAGAGCCCAGAGCCTGCTCTGGGAGACAGAAGAGTTTATTTAAGCCCCAACCCCTGACTTGTTGAGTAGTCTTCAAGTTCCTTCCTCTCTCTGAGCCTCAGTTTCCTCATCCGTCGAGTGAGCGCTTCCCAGTGCCAAGCGCAGCCCTGAGTGCTTTACCTCCATCTGACTGATGCAGCTGTCACCCCACCCTATAAGGTAGGTCTTATCACTGTCCAGTATTTCTGGTTTAGTTTCCCCCTCTGTAAAATAAGAACAATAACATCAACTTCATAACCTTACTGTGAGGAGTAAATGAGTTAATATATGTACAAGCACTTTTTAAAAAGCCTGGCACACAGTAATCACCTAATAAATGTTGGTTGTTGTTGTGAACTGCCTCTCAACAGGTAGGAAACTGAGGCACAAAGTAGGGAAGCCACTTGTCTGGGTCATGCGCTGGGCAGTCTGGCTCCTGAGCCTGCATGGGTAACCACCACCTTGCAAGCTGATGGATGTGACTGAAGTGCCTGGCACACAGTAGGTGCTCAGTGAACAGCCATCATCTATGACCTCACACAAGTGCATGCACACACAGAGGGAAGGAGACCGCATCCAACCTGTACATTTATTTACAAGGCACAAGCTGAGAGCAGGTTGGGGGCCGCCCAATGGCCTTCCCACTCCTGGGCCTGCTGACCCCATCATCTGAGGCCATGGGTCACCCCTGGGATGGGGGCCCGGAGCGTCTGGGTTGGGCCTGCTTGGCCCTGAGGCAAGCTCAGGGGTGGTCTCCTGTGTCCCCCAGGCTTCTCCCCTCCCCCTCAGCCAGGCCTGGGCTGGGCGCCCTCTCTCTCACACAAAGTTCCTGTGTGTTGGTGGTCGCAAGGAAGGTGGGTGGGGGCCGGGCCCGGGCCAGATGGTGTGTGCTAGGCCTTATCGGTTGGGAGTGGGGAGGCGGCAGGAGCATGGAGGTCCTCTTTCACAAAGCCTGCTCTGTCTTCCCTGGCAGCTGGGCCTTAGGAATTGGAGTTGCTGCCTTCCTGCCCTGCCATGAGCCTCCCATCCACAACTGCAGAAGCCCTACATGCTGGGACCCCCAGCCATCCCACCCCAGCTAGGAGCAAGCCGAGGCTGGGGATGCCCCAGGTGGGGCAAAGCAGGGATCACCAGGGCAGCAGTTCAAAGAGGGGGAGCTGGGGAGGGACAGGGAGCAGTTTCAACGGGCACATGGAGTCTGGGGCGTAGCTGACAGGCCGGAGCCCTGTCTAGGGAGGCACTAGCAGGATGGATCCAGGTCATGCTCCGAGGCGGCTCATGTTGGGGAAGCGGTCACTGCATAGGGGCTTGGGGAGCCCCGAGCCTCCCAGCCTGGTGCAGCCTTTTCCTGGCCAGCTGGCCCCAGGGATCTGGCCTTCTTTCTCTGGCCTTCTGGGCTGGGTGGCCTCAGCCCTGGCCATTGTGTGGCTGCATCCAGGCCTCAGCTGCTCCTGGGGCTCAGACCCCCAGAGTCATCAATGCCCCCGAGCTGCTGATCTTCTTGAAGCGGTTAGCAGCGCTGACAGCAATGAAGTTTTTCTGGAGGATGAGGGAAAGGGAATCCCAGTCAACACTGGGGCAGAGGAGAAGCTGTGGGACAGCTGAGTGTCATCTTTAAGGTCCCCTTCATTTCAGGAGGGTCAGAGGCCAGGGAGGGTGCAGTGCCCAAAATGGCCACAGGAGGCGCCATGACACTGCGTTGTCTAGGATTCCTTCCCTCATTCGACAGACATGTCAGCCAGACCTGAACTGAGTACTGCTCTGCTCAAAACACTCCCGTGGCTCCAGTTCCACTCAAGGTAAAAGACAGGCCTGGGCCAGTGAGTCCCTTTGCCATGGCCGGTGAGTCCCTCCACACCCTGTCCCCCTGTTGCTCTCTGACTCCATGCCTACCCCCTCATCCACTCCACTCCAGCCACACTGGCCCCCTACTTCTTCCTCATACTTGCCAACTGTGCTTCTGCCTCAGGGCCTATGCAGTGGCCGTTCCCTCTTCCTGGAAAACTCCTCCCCAGTACTGGCGCGGCTCAGCCCTCACCTCCTTCTGGTCTTTGTTCACAAGCTCCTCCTCAGTGAGCCCTCCCTGACCCAATATTTAAAAGTGCAATTTCTCCCCTGGCACTCCTGACCACCTTTATTTTTTTAGAGCCCTTTCTTAACCCCTTCTAATAACTCCCCACTTCCCACCAAAAGTAAGTCCGCAAAGACTGAGATCCTTGTCTCTTTTGCTGACTGTTGTATCCTAGTGTCTAGGCCTGCGTTTGAATCTGGCTGGGTGACTTTGGGCAATTCACTTCTGGTCTCTGAGACTCACTGTTCTCATCTGTAAAATGAGCATAATCATCCCAGAAGTAGTAGATGCTCAGTAAGTATTTGAGAAATAAAGGAAGGTAACCCGTGATGGGTTTGGAGATATTTTCTTGAGCTCAAGTCCTGGATGGATGCCCCTCTCCAAGATGGAGGGTGTGGGTGGATTCTTGGTTCCAGAGCAAGAGTCAGCTCAAGACAAAGAGGAAAAAGCCAACCCTACCCAGACAGGACCAGACCTGGTCAACAGAAACTGCCAAGGCAGGGCTGGTGAAACCTAGGACCTCTTCCTGCCCGATGACACCTCCCTCCTCCCCACCCTGGGTCCAGCAGTACCTTCCAACGCCTCTTCATAAGGTATTTCTTAAGCAAGATCTGGGACTTGAGGCGTCGGTTACAGCGCTTGGCTTTCTCTGCCAGGTTGTTGAGCCAGGGATGGGCAAGGCACTGTGCGGCGCTCATTCGGGCCCTGTGGGGAGCGGAGCAGTGTGGTGATGGTGGGCAGCACGCCTGTGAGGCACCGGAGCCCAGCCGGCTTCCTGGCCCTGATCCCACACCGCGGGCACACACACGCACCAAGCTTGCACACATAGGGTTCACATCCTGGGGTGAGCCTCACCCCTGGTCCTTGACGATGAGGTTGGAGACGAAGTCTTTGGCTTCGTCTGATACGGCCTCAAAGGTTTCCTCGTCAAAGTACCAGTTGCCAGATAGGACGTTGTTTAGGGTCTCTGTGTCATCATCTCCCAGGAAGGGGGAGAGGCCGCTCAGCCTAGAGGAAAGGGATGGTGGGGGGCAGGTAGGTGAGATCAGAGATGCTGAGTCACGTTTGGGGGGAGAGGGGATGGGGGCAGAACCTAGGAGGCAGCACCATGAGCTGAAAACTCCCCCAGCCTCTCCAGTGGGACAGACCTGGGTTTGTATCTGGCTGGGTGACTTTGGGCAAGTCACTTCCCCTCTCTGAGCCTCACTCTTCTTATCTGTAAAATGGGCATAATCATCCCACTTTCCAGGGTTACAGTGAAGATGAGGAATGATGAGTGCAAAGTACGTGGTGAGTGTACAGAAAATCCCCACTACCCCTTTGCCCCCATCCTGGGTCACCTGATATCAGCTGTCCAGAGCCCTAGGCTGGGATGCTATGCCTTTAGGGGCCTTGGTTTTTCCATCTATAAAATGGGCATAAAGTCTCCCTTTCCTGGTTCTCCCTTGCATTCCTCACCCCCAACAAACCCCTAACTGAGGGATTGGGGAGGTGGGACCACCTCGCCAGGACCCCAAGGCCAATCTTGGCCTCAGCTGCCCGCCCACATACCCCAACCAACCCCACAAACACCACCCTTCCTTGGGGCTCACAGCATGTAGGTGATGACCCCCAAACTCCACATGTCTGTCTTATCGGAGATTTGGTCGTAATTCACCACCTCAGGTGACAGGAACTCCGGGGTCCCAAAATTCACCTTCAGCTTCTCATTGGGGTTATACCTGGGGGTAAGACCGAGAGCTCAGAGCAGAGCATCTGGCCTGTTCCCAGCCACCCTCTACCCCTCCTTTGCCCCTGCTGACCTCAGAGGCTGGTTTTGTTCTCCCCACCCACCCAGGTGGTACCTCCGTGCCAGGCCAAAGTCAATGATCTTCACCAAATGGCCCGTGGTGTTGACACACAGGATGTTCTCTGGCTGAGGAGAAAGGGGGTGATTTGGATTGGCCTCTGACCCAGTTCACCCTCCCTCCCCCACCAGGCCTATCCAAGTCCCAGGCCCCCAGAATGGGCAGCTGTCAGAGAGTCTCCAGACTTGCCTGCTCTGGGCATACATAAGGATCCCGAGGCCCCAAGAGGGATTTGTACCAGACCTCAAAGCACAAGAACTCTTAGTGTGGATTCAGGCAGGATATCCTTCCATTTAAGGCCATGAAAGAACAACATTCTAGCAATTCTGAGGATGGAGAAACTGAAGGCTGCAGAGGAGAAGTGTGCCCCAGGCTGGGAGGCCTGTGCAAGGCCACCACTAGATACGTAGAGCTCCAGAGACCAGAGAAAGAAAACACCAGCTCAGGGCTGCCAGAGAAAGCCCCTCAGGAAAAGAGAGGGCTTTACACTGCTCCGGATATGCTCAAAGATGGGCTACTCTGTCTCCTCAGTTAACAATAACCACAACAAGCTACAAAACAGTCCAGCCGTGTGTCACTCCCTTTCTATGCTTTAGCACATCAATTCTCCCAACAGCTCTAAAGGCATATACTGTTATCTGAGATAAAACTTTTACAGTGAGATATTGTTACCATCTACCCCCATTTTACAGCTGAGCAAACTGAGGATCAGATACAGAAGTGACTTAGCCACAGTCACCCAACAAGTAAGTCATAGAGCCAGGATTTGAACCCAGGATGGTCTGACTCCAGCGCTGGCATCCTGATGTCCCCCTGCTGCTGCTTGCCAGCAAGGACCCACAGTGCATTCTACGGGATGGGGGCTGGGGTGGACACAGTGCCACTGGGTTGACTCTTCCAGGGCAGGGACCATCTTCTCCCGGCCTCCTTGGTCCCCACCGTCAGTGTCTAACAAAGGCACCCAGTGGGTGCTCAGCCAAGGCTCAGAGAAAACTTGTGCCCCAAGCACAAGTGAACATGTGAATGAAGCTACTGCAAGCTACTTCCTCCCCAGTCTAGGCCACCATGTCCTTCTCCTGTAACACAAGGACACAGGACTAATCTGAGGTTGCAGGGTATAAACATTTTAAAGTTAACAATGGTTCAAAGGCAGGAGATTTTGCACAAAGTAGCTGATTTCTAGCACCTCCTGAAAAACCAGAAGCCCTGGCCACATGGGCCTCATGCCTTGGAGTAAGTTGCCAGTGCCCGAGATAGGACGAAAGTCCTCTAGCTCTTCTGTGGTCTCCATTACCTCAGCCTGGCCCATTCAGCACATTTCTGTCATTTGTCTGGGTTCTGTGGCCATTTGATTCCCTCCCCCATTGCTACTCTTAAGGTCTCCAATGAACACTTTCTGAAGGCCCTTTTAGAATTGATACATTCATTCAGAGAAGGACATTAATGATTTAATAGCTCAGCCTGGTGTCCCACCAAAACAGGGAAAGAAAAGAAAGGTTCCAGGGTACAAGCTTTTGGGGAAACAAGGCAGACAAATCTCCTTTTGGAGATTCTCAATCTGCACACAGGGGGTCCTCAGAAGTCCTGTGGCCAAGAGACCTGGACATGACCTTTGGGCTGGGGTTCGCCCAACTTACTTGATTGTGAAAACCTTTTCTGATGAAAAACTTATTGCTATCCTGAAAAAAACACATTTTAGGATACAGAGGCTTAAGGCTGCGCTTCTTCCCAGGGCATTGCATTTTAACTGGGGACCCTGCTCTACTCCCACAGAAATTGGCTTTCACGGGAGAAAGGCAGGCCTCCAATGCCACCATGCGGCACCAGCTGCTCCCAGATCAGTGAACAGGGCCACCATCTGCCCCGTAACTCAGGAGTCACTCTTGACTCTCTCCTCTCCCTAACCCCCACACATGCAAACCATCAGCAAATCAAATTGGCTCAATTTTCAGAATGTATCTGTCATCTGGTTGCGTCCCGCCTCCTCCACTGCTACTCTGGCTCAAGCCCCTGTCTGCTCTCTCCTGGCCTACACAACAGCCTCCTAAATTCCCTGCTTCAACTTTGGCCCCATTGAAACTCATCTCCTGGCCCTCCTCGCTTCCTCATCTGTCAGTGGGTATGATAAGAGCACACCTAACCCAGTGAGCTGTTGGGAGGATCAGGCACTCACTCAGAGCAGTGTCTGACGCCTGGTAAACCCGGGATTGGGGTTGGAAGCAGCAGCAGCATCTCCCTGCTCTGCTTCACACTTCGAATGCTCTGGCCCTTGCTTACTTCTCCAATTTCACCTTGTACATCTCCCCATACTTGCTCATAACACTTTTAATAGTTGATTTGTATATTTAGTCATTATTTTAAGAATGTCTGTTTCCTCTACTAACCTGTAGGCTCCATGAGATGGGGACCATGTCCTTTGTAGTCCCTATGCCTAACAAGGTACCTTCCAGTAGCAGGTGCTTAGTACATATTTATGAAATGAATGAATAAAGGTACTATCCACTCTGCTGACAGGTGCTGACCCACCTAGTCTTGCCACCTAACCCACAAGCATTAACATCTGCCATCAGGATGGAGAACACCTGGCGCTGGCACTGCCCCTGCCTACTCCATGCCTGGGGCAGACGTCTCTAAGCTCCAGGCAGCCGCTATCACCTGATCAAAGTTGGTGTGATACATAAAATCTATTTGTTCTTCCTGACCTACTATGAGCATGGTGCTGAGCAAGGTCAGAAGAGGGATGTAAGTATCCTTTCCTTCAGCATTTTTGTTAGCACCTGCCTCATGCGCATAGCTGCACTGGTACCATACTTATTTGTAAGCTCTGTGAGTGCAGGGATTTTAATCTATTTGTTCACCACTGGATCTCCACCACCTAGAACACTGCCTGGCATGAATCAATAAACAAACATTCATAGCACCTATCACAGGCCAACACTGAGGTAGGTGCTATTGCAACACTTATTAGCCACTTGTATGTTTGAGACACTGAGCTTGGGGCTCACAGGACTGCAAATGACCCTTTCAACAAATACTACTGGACTAAGAAGTTCCATGAAAGCTGGGACCATTTTTTCCTCTCTGTTGTATCCCTAGCTATCAGCACTTACTAAGTGCTCAATAAACCCTTTTTGAATTGCTGGTTGGGAGGGTAGCTGGAGAAAGAGAAGGAGGGATGGGAGGATGGAGGGATGGCCAGTTCTAACAGATTTCAGGTGGTCGGATGCTGCTTCTGACCCCTCCCGGGAGGCCCCAACCCCAGTACCTTGAGGTCCAGGTGCAGAACCCTCATCTTGTGCATGAAGAGAATCCCATCACAGATCTGCCTGACAAACACCATGGTGTCCACTTCGGTCAGCTGGTAGTCCTCATCCACAATCCTCTCGAAGAGCTCACCGCCCTCGATGCTGTGTGCACACACCCTTCCACAGGCTTGCTCTGGGCCTGCAGGCACCCCCACCCAGCCCCAACCCCCACTGCCGGCACTCACTACTCCATGAACAGTATGATCTCATGTGAGGTCTCAATGGCCGCATAAAGCTGGATCAGATTGCGGTGGTTCAGCTGGTTCATGACCTCAATCTCGAGCATCACCATTTCCTGAGGACCGGGGAAGTCAAGGGTACCAGTCAAGCATCATCACTGCCTGTCCTCCACACTCCATACCTACACCCTTGGCCAGACTTGGTGGGCCTTGCCTGGACCACTGCCCAGCCTCCTTGCTGATCTTGCCTCCCTCTCTCCTCCACCCATAAGTCTGCTGTCCTCACCACTCCCAGCCATTCCTGCTGGGACTCCTTCCTTCTGCTGGCTCTCCTTCTCCTGACTGAATACTGGCACGCCCAAGGGCTCTGTCCACCCCCCTCATCTCTTCCCTCCCTCTGCTCTCTTCCTGGGCATTTTCATCAACTGATGAGAGGGACTGGATGAGAATGCCCAGGGAGAATTTACATGCCCGTGACTTTACATTCCAAGTAAATGAAATCGATTCTCAAATACATATCTCTACCTCTGAGCATTCCCTTGAGTGCCAGGCTCCAATATATCCAACTGCCTATATGCCATTTCCCTTGGCTGTCTAATAGGCATCTCAAATCTATCATGTCCGAAATTAAACCCTTCCCCACAATTGAGTTGCCTTCAGCTTGCCCATCAGTGAAAGGACACCACGCTTCACCACGTGTGCAGAACAAAAAGTTAGAAGCTATCCAGATTCCTCTCTTCCTCATGTCCCACATACTTTCAAACTACATTATAAATCCAATCATTTCTCCATTTCCCTTGGCTGTCTAATAGGCATCTCAAATCTATCATGTCCGAAATTAAACCCTTCCCCACAATTGAGTTGCCTTCAGCTTGCCCATCAGTGAAAGGACACCACGCTTCACCACGTGTGCAGAACAAAAAGTTAGAAGCTATCCAGATTCCTCTCTTCCTCATGTCCCACATACTTTCAAACTACATTATAAATCCAATCATTTCTTAAGTCCTCCAACACTGCCTTCATAGTCTAAGCCACCCCTTTCTTTTTTTTTTTTTTTTTGACAGATGCTCAGTATGGGGATCTGAACCCTTGACCTTGGTTTCATCAACACCAGCCTCTATCCAACTGAGCTAATCAGCCAGCCCTATGCCACCAATATTCAAAAAGCTTGCAAGTCATTTGTCACATTGGTACGTTGATATTAGCTATGGTGGGAATATTTACAGCACGGAAATTGGCAAATGATACAAATCAGGCCTCTCCCCCAACCTGCCCCACCCAGAGCCAGTTGTTAAACATGAACCATCACATCACTGTCTGAATTTCTCCTCCTCTCCCTTTATTCCATTCCTTCACTCAGATCTCCCTCACATACTACTTTGTTAGAGAGGTCTAATCTCACCACCCTATCTAAAACAGCACCCCCTGGCCCTATACTCCCTATCCCTTATCTGGCTTTATTTTTCCCTCTAGCACACTTCTCAGTACCTGATACTAAATGCTTTTTATTTTGTTTGGTTTTTTCCTTGTCTGTCCCTCTACTCTAGCAAGTCGGCCCCATGAGAGCAAAGACTTTTATAGTTCACTGACATTTCCCTAGCACCTGGCACAGTAAATGGCACAAAAAAGGGGCTCAGTAATTAATTAATCAGTTGCTAACTCCAATTAATTTGTACAGCACAAAGGTACTGAACATCTGTGTTGAACCAGGTCCTGTGATAGAGGTCTGAGACCCATCAGTCAATAACACCACTCCAGGCCCTGTCAACTGGAGGAGACGGAGAAGGACATAGTCACCTAGAAAATACATTCCTTCCGAATGTACTCAGACTATGATGGGAAACTCAGGGCTGCAGCACTCTGGAGCTGTTTCTCATGCTATTGCTGGGCGTCGGGACTTTGCACGTGCCATTGTGTTTGCCTGGAATGCCCACAACCTCAGTCAGCAGCACCCCCTGCTATTTCTGGGCCTTTACCCTCATAGTCTGCTCTGCCTGAAACTCTCCTCCCTGCCTTCTCCACTGGAACTTCTCTTCATTCTTCAAAGCCTTCACTTAGGAAACAGCTGATCCAAGAAGTTTCCCTAACCCCTTGGGCTGAGTCAGGAGCCACCCCTGACCTCCCACATCTTATTGTCTCCCCACTCCAGCTTTCCTGAGTTACAGCTCTGATCACACTAGCTGGGTCATCACCACCTCCTCACATACCAGACTCCCTCACTCCATGGGAGCCTCTGCCTGCCTATATTCATTCATTCATCCCTTGAACAAACACTGCTCATGGCCTCCTCTGAACCTGGCCTACACTGGGAGTTAGAGGCAAAGCTCTAGACCAGGATTGTTTGACTTGCCATCAGCTCCCTGAGGGCGGGGACCACATCCACTTCACTTTGGAACCCCCACTGCCCAGCATGGGACCTGGCCCAGAGCCTACACTCATCAGGGTTTGTTGAGTTGAACCAGAGGGCATGAATATCCCATGCCTAGAAGAGGAAGTCCCCAGATAAGTTCACTAACTGAGGTGTCTGGTTTCAGGGTAGGGGCAGCAGGGCTGTCTGTTTGTCTATCTATCTGTATGGCATCTTTATGACAACAAGAAGGCTCCCACACCAGGCCCCTGGCTCAGCAGCCTGAGTGGAGGGAGGTGGGAGATGCCCACCCCAAGCATCACTTCCACCTCCTGAGAAGCCAGCCCCCCTCCACTACCTTGTCTTTGGGGGTCTGTTTCTTGATGACCTTGGCTGCCAGCTTGAGGCCTGTGGCTTTCTCTGTGCAGGTACAGACTGCTCCAAACTTGCCTCTGGAAAGAGAATAGGCTGGAGTGAGGGGCCTCCAAGGAGCACAGGGGTCAGCAGCATCCTGTGCTCTGATCCCCTCTTGGCCCTAGACCTGATGGTGCTCTGGATCCTTCTGTGTGAGAAGGGAGCGCTCACCCCAGCCAGCCCCGACTCCTTCCTGAAGCTGCAATGAGCTGCACTGCCCGGACAATGACTGAAAGCAGGTTCTTTGAACCACACAGACCATGTGCACAGGAAGGGCAGGCTCATTGGGAGGAGACCCTGGGATGCGACCCCACAGGTTTAGGGCAGGAAAGGGCCCTGGGGAAGGCACCTTCAAGCAGTGGGAAGGAAGCTATCTGTAGAGGTACAAGATCGAGTCAGGGCTTTTTACAAAGCAGGAATCACCACGAGGGGGTCAGTGTGGTGCCTGGAATGGAGAAAGACAGGAAAATACTGTGTATTTCCTATGGGAAATACTCAATAACCAATGTTCGTATCTGTGTGAGTGACACGACATTGAGTGCATATCAGCCCAAGACAGCTTGCACACAACGGGTGACCACATAGAAGTGAATGTGTTCATGTGGGCCATGTCCAAGTGGGGTGTGTCTGGGCCTTGCATGGGAAGATGTGAGGCTACAGGGGCTGGGTGGTCTCCCACCACGGGTGCCGGCTTGGGGTCCCAGCTCTCACCCTCCAAGTGCCTCCTTGGAGTTCATGCTGAATTCGCTGTTGACATTTCCTATCCTCAGCTCCACGATGCGGTGGGGGAAGGGGGCCGGGGGTGGTGGGCAGTCATCTGGGGAGGCAGAGCAGAGCCCTCATGGTCAGTGTCAGGGGCTGCTGATGATTCACCTTGGCTCCACCCCCTCCTACCTGACCTAGCCCCATCCAGGGAAGTTAAGTTCACCACCTGACAAATGGGGAACCCCTGGCTCCAGGAGAGGTGCTGGGGCCCAGTTTCCAATTTCAGTTCTGTCACGAAGACATAAAATGCCTTGGGAGGCCTCTGCCCCGTCAGAGGGGATCCAGCTTCTCCCAGCAGGACAATGGGGACAACTGTTCCTCTTCGACCCTCCCTTATTATAAGGTATGAGGACGCCATCCCAAGCTGTCTGCGCTTCCACTAGAAACAATAAATCAAACAAATAAACTTGGCAGCTATGAAGTGGAATGCCAGATAGTGGGATTGTTGTGTCTGGATGATGCGGTAGGTGGTGCGATCTGCCTACCATGCCCTCTAATAACGCCACATGCTGGCCAGACCTGTGGCAGGGCCGTGGACTGAGATGTTTGGTGGGGAGATACCGCCACCTAGCGTCAAGTGAGAGGAACAGCAGACCCTCAAGGCCTGAAGACTGAGTCATCGGGAACGGAAACCTCTTTATAAATAGTAAGAGGCGGCAGGGAAGCTGCGCTGGTGATAAATTAAACGGCCCTTGGAGGTGGTTCAGATCCCGTCACCCCAGGATGTGCCTTCTGGGTGGGGCGGAGCGGAGGTCTCTGCCGCTGCTGGAGGCAGGGCTCCTGGCTGCCGCCCAGCCGCCAAGTCCTCCCACCCTGTCTGGGTGGCACTATGCCGCTCACCAGGCAGGCTGGACAGTCTCCCAGAGCACCTCGGCCTGGAGGAAGGGGGGGTGTCAGGACACTCTGGGCTCTTCTGACCCCATCTCACCCCACCCCCAGCTTTGCTGCACCCCCTCCCGAACCCTTTCCCTATTCATTTGCTCGCTGAGCTCCCTCATGCTCAGTGCTTTCTGCTCCCCACTGAGTAAACCAACAGCTCCTGTCTAATCATCAGTGAGGGCCACTCCACAGTCCTGCCCCGTCTCACATGCCACGTTTCCTTGGTCACTGCTCCCACACACAGACACTGTGCTCCTCAGCTCATGAACCCTCTATGGCTCCCATAACCCCCTCCCCCGACCATGTAGTTTAACTACCAAAGCCTAGCATTTGAACCCTTCTACAGATTGACCTTAAATTCCACCATCCAGTGAACTCCTGTTGCCCCAATAACCTGCCTAATTTTTTAAAACCCCATTTTAGCCAAAGTAGAAGAAAGTCAAAAGTGGGCTCTGGAGTCAGGCTGTTCTGACAGGTTCAAATCCTGTCTTCACTGTATGTTTTTGGGCACTCCCCTTTTCTAAACCTTCATTTCCCCATCCCTCAAAAGGTAATACTTCCTGGGATTGTGTGACACTTAGATGAATCGGTCTGGGTGAGGCATGGCTCAGGGCAGCTCAGCTCTCTGAATGGGGAGACTTGGGACTGGTAGCCTCCTTCTCTCTCCCCGAGCCCCAGAGCATCCCCAGCCCCCACCTTCCCCTGGCCTACCCAAAATCTGGAAGCAGTCTTCCTCCCTGGCTGTGGGACAGAGGGCCTGCCCCACCTCTGGTCTCTCTGAGGGAACAGCCTGGAACTCGATCCCCCTCGAGGTGTCCCCTTGCACCTTAGCCTGGACAGCCTGGCCTGCGTCTTTCTCTTCTGCTTCCTTCTGGCTCCCTGCCAGTTTGTTCTTCCCTCCTTCAGCCTTGGCTGGCCCAGGATCTGTGGGGCTGGGGGTAATGGGCACTCCTTCAAAGGTGAGCTCTGATGCCTCACTTAGGGGCTTCTTGGCCAGAAGCTTCTCAGAGCTAGAAGGAAAGAACACAGGGATGAAGCCCTCAGCAGCCACAGACCTGTGGCGTTGGGCAGGCCTCAGGTAGGTCTCACTTCCAAAGCCTCATATGCAATCTGGAGCTAATACAACCCTGACCACTCCACCCACCCCCCAACACTACCCCAAATGCGTGGGGTGGGGTGATGCATCCAGACTCATTTTGTACAAAATCAAGGGATGTTAACACCATAAATGGCTGTGGTTATTATCTTGAGCATCAACACACTAATAGATCATTAATAATTATTAATTGGATTGTTGATATGGTTAATCATCATGTGGATACAACTAGCTCTTGATTCATAAAAACTGTGGTGATGTAATTGATATTAATACATAATTATCAAATTGATATGGTTAAGTGTTAAATAAATAATAAAACAAAAACAAAAAATAATTAAAAAACAAAAAGATATGGTAAATGTTATGATTGTCGTTTACCAATATATCATTAGTGACCTCATTAGCATTCAGGTTAACTGATGTTGTATTATGGTTATGAAAGTATTAGTAATGATCCACCAATTTGGTTATTAATCATCTTTTTCATATTATACCAATAATTATATTAAGAAGAAGGGTTATCCTTTCTGCCTGACATGTCAGCCCCGCTCTTGGCTAGACCCAAACCCATGAAGCATGGGGAACTTTGGACCTAGGAGGCCTAGAGGAGTTCAGCCTCAGTGGTCTTTGAAGACCTCTTCTGTCTGATATTCCAGGCCTCTATGAACTATGGCAAAGTCCTTATTTCTGCAGGGGACAAGGTGGTAGAGCCAATGCCCAGGACAGAGGCAACTGAACATCAAAACTACTCTCCCAGCACTGCATGTGATGACAGTGATGCCCAAGACAGGGGAATTAAGCACGAACCCTGGGGACAGAGGCACAGGACCCATCCCCACTCCCAGGCAAGGGGCATTCACCTCGAGATGACAGCAGGGCAGCTGGGGCTATGCAGAAAGGCAGGTGAGCCCCTCCTGGCCGCTGATTGGCCCTCTGCTGCCTTCTTGCCCACCTTAGGCTCTCCAGGGTCCCGGCTGCCTGAGGTTCCCTGTTTAGCGTTGGGCTTCTTGACACTGGCCTCGGCTGTCAAAGTCTTCTGGGGCAGGGCAGCTGGCTGCCCAGCACTGCCCTCCGCAGGCCCCCCACCCTTGCTACTCTCTCCCTCAGGGCCCTGGCTGCTAGTTGAGGGTTGGGCCAAGGCACCATCCCCTTTCTCTGGGGCAGAGGCTTTGGTATATTTCTTCACGGTGGGAGGGCCCGGATCTTTCTTTGGGTCTGGAGGGCCAGGATCTTTCTTTGGGTCTGGAGGGCCAGGATCTTTCTTTGGGTCTGGAGGGCCTAGTTCTTTCTTTGGGTCTGGAGGGCCTGGATCTTTCTTTGGATCTGGAGGGCCAGGATTTTTCTTTGGGTCTGGGGAGCCACGGTCTTTCTCTGCAGTTGGAGTTCCTTTACCTGCAGCACCTTTAGGTGCTTTGTCTGCAAAGGAGATGAGACACCCATCAGGATCCACTCTCATTCCCCTCCGTCTCCAGCCAGGCTGGGCAGATACCACCTCTGAGCCCAGCCCCACTCAGGCAACTACTTGCAAATGTTTGTTTCCCTGAGTCTCTGAGGCCACCGATGCAGCCCAGAGGTGGGCTGCTGGAATCTTGGAGGCCCTCTGTGAGAGGCTTCTGACCCTTTGGGTGGGCCTTGATGGCCCCGCCATCCCTTGCCCAGAATGTTTAGGTGCATCCCCAACAGCCATCCATGGAGGCTTCACGTTTTCCCGGGAGGGCTTCATGCAGGCCCTGGACCCAGCCCAACCCTACCCAGAGATCATTCTGATTTCCGAGTCCCCCATGGGCCATGCGAAGAAGCCTCGGGCACAGAACTCCCACTGAGGAACCTGCCCAACCCTGGATTCAAACACCCCTCCCCAAGCTCCTCCCTCCCTCTTGGCACCTGTTGACAAGCTCTGGATTCTCAGCTCAACTGCTCCATTTTCTTTCGCCATGCGGTAGGGAGGTATGTGCTTCTGTTTGTCTAACTCAAGTCTTTCTAGCTGCAGAAAGAAGAGTGGGGTGTGTCAGGCTGTCGTATTCTTCCTCTTGTCTGGCTGTGGAGAGAGAAGAGGCCGAGACCAACTGACTGAGAGGAGAGAGGTACCTGGAGCTGAGAGGGGAGACCTGGTGCCCGTCTGTCTTGCAGTGGCTGCTCAGGAGCAATCCTGGAGTGGTTGTAAGGGATTGGGCCGGGTGGGCAGAGGCGGAGGCAGGGGCGCGAGTAGCAGAGGCGGGGACGGAGGAGAGGATCTCTTACACCAGGGGCCATGTAGCTCAGACTGCCACCACCTGTCACTCTTGGCCCCTGTTCAGAGGACACGGCATTCTTCCCACAGCCTGACTGGGGAAGAATGGTGTTGGAACAAGCAAGAAGAGAAAAGGGAGGGGGCAGCTGGGGCCCTGGGGGAGCAGCCCTTTTCCCAGGTCTTGCCCAGTATCCCTGACTTGGACAGGATCAGCAGGGGCGTGGAAAAAGAAGGGCTCTCAGGCAAGGCTGATGGGCAAGCCTGTGCCCAGGCTGGGCCTTGGCTTTGCCTACCTGCATGCCACATCTCCTGGGTATCCCTAGAACCTGGTTAGAGCCACACAGGCCCAGGAATAATCACCCTGCCCCAGTGCCTAGCTATGTGCCCCTGGCATCCGGACCTATTTGGATCATCTTTGGGTTAGAAATTGTCTCAGGTGCATTTGCTCAATGTGTCCACAGGCCTGAAAGCATTTTCTTTGGAAAATGTCTTGGGCTCCTGAAGAGATGGAGGCTGTCCAATTGGCCATGGGAGATGGTCAGTGCTCTGTGCCCCTCCCCTGAGCTGATCTAGGTCTCTCCAATAGCCCACCTGGAAGGAGGGGGCTGGTGGAGAGTCTTTTCTAGGCTCCTCCACTACAATGGAGACCGAGGAGCAGTCCAGCCCAAGGTATTCAAGCTGAGATGGGATGGATGTTCCACTGCCTGGGGCTGTCTGCCCAGAGCCTTTCTCTGAGGGGCCCCTGAGAATTAGCCAGAGTCATGTGCCTCAGAAGCAGCTGTGGAGTGAGTGTCTGCGTTCAGGTCCTGACTGTGGTAAACCATCCAATCTGCTCCGTGGTAAACTCCACTCTGCTCCATGGCCTCAGCTCCTCTACCACTGCCCTTAGATGAGAGAAGGGAGGGAGAGTGCAGCACCTCTAAGCAATGGGGACACACATAGCTGTAAAAAAAAAATTGAGGAAGCTTTTAATGAACTGATATGAAGCAACCTCCAAAGTGAAGAAAAAAAAATGCAGAATAGCATGCAGAGCATGCTATCATTTGTCTAAAGGATGGGGAGAATAATACTATACAATTTTTCACTTCATACACGTAAGAGTTTCTTGGCAAGATAAACAAGAAACTAGGGACCAAGGGTGGGAGGGAGATGTCACTGTGTACTCTTTTACATTTTTTGAACTATGAACTATGTGAATGGATTACTATTCAAAACATGTGATTTTTTTTTTTAAGTGAGCAAATGCTGAGAGTTCTTGGTATAGGCTAGCAAAAACCAGAGTTGGAGCTCCTTCCCCAATCTTGACTATTTTTGCTCTGCTTGTTCCTCTCCTCCATGTCTGACCCTCTTCTCCAGTCCTGGCCCTCCTCTTCTCTATATCTTTTCTTCAAGGTCCATTTGACAGCCTGCCTCCTCCAGGTAGCAAAAGGAATAACTAATGTCTCTATGGCACTCGCAGTGTGCCAGGCATTGTTCTAAGTGCTCTTATGTAGATTCACTCATCTACCCAGTGAGGTAGTGATGATCACCTACCTCACAGGGGGCGGTATATAAAGCATTTAGAACAGTGCATGGGTGCATAGTAAGTGCTACGTAAATGCCAGCTGTTTCATCTCCATTTCGCAGATGTAACAGGAAAACTGAGTCACAAGGCAAAGTCACAGAGTTGGGATTGGAACCATCTAACCCAAGGCTCAGCTCATAATCACTCTGCCCCATGCCTCCCTCTCACAGATTGGGGAAGCAGATTACAGATGGGGAAACTGAGGCACAGAGCAGTTAAGTAACTTACTCAAAGTCATACAGCTGAGTTGGGATCTGAACCCAGGCTCTCCAAAGGGAAGGGAGCTCCCATTTACCAAGTACATACTATTAGCTTTATCCATCTTGTCTCTAAACATCATCTTGATGATAACTCTGTGGGGAGCGTTCATCCCACTTTCCGGATGAGGACAAGGAGAGTTAAAGCAATGAGTAGCTTGCCCAAAGTCACTCAACAAGGAAGGGAGTTGAGCCAGGAGTGTCCTTCTTCAAAGTCCAAAGTCCTCTTTCTTCCCTAAAACTTTCCAGTCTGTGCGTCGCCCCCTTCTCCCTGCTGGGTCCCCCTTTTGTGGGTCTTGTAGCATTCTAAAGGTTGCAGCGTTTCCTGCCCAAGCCTATTATTGGGACCTCCTGGCCCTCTATGTGGTTGTCTCCACAGCATGTTCTAGTTTAGCTTGAAATGTTGGACCCCCTCCTCTGGTCTCTCAGTGCCCTCGGATGACCCCACTGTCAGTTGACACTGTCTGGGAGCCCCTTGAAGGCAGGGGCTGTGATGCTTACATGTGTCCCCAGCACAGAGTGTACTTGCCAACTAGTGTTTGATGAGTAAATAACTGAGTGACTAGCAAGGCTGTGGACAGGAGTTTGTGGGATTACTTTACTATGGTGGCCCTTGCTGACATCCCCTTGTTATTATTGCAGTTATCAATAGTGATCATTTATTGAGTGCCCACTAAGGACCAGGGCTGACTATGCCAAGGGCTTTCCCCGGCTCACTGGATCCTTACAAGGGACTCTAGGGGCCAAGTATTAGACCATTTTTAAGGGCAAAAACTGATGCTCAGAGAAGGTAAGTGGCTTGTCTCCAAAGTCACATAGCTAGTAAGTGACTTTGAACTATCCAGATTCAAATCCAGAGCCACCTCCTGATGAGACCAAAATCCAGGCTGGGATGAGTTAAGGGGCTTTATTTGCTACTTTTGTTACAGTTATGATTCCCAAATACTGACAAATACTGACTGAACTTTTACTAAAATGGGCCAGGCCCTGGGGTGAGCAACCTTATGAGTGTCCTTCGTTTAATCCTTACAACAGCCCTACTGTGTGGTTGTTGGGAGCTCCGCCAGTGAAGCTCTGGGACCAAAAACTGTGTGCTTGGACAAATGCCTTCACATGTTTTTTTTTGTCTGAAAGACGATCACGTACCTCAGAGGTGGAGGTATATAAAGCATTTAGAACAGTGCATGGGTGCCTAGTGCTACATAAGTGCCAGCTGTTTCATCCCCATTTCGCAGATGTGACAGGAAACATGAGTCACAGGACAAAGTCACAGAGTTGGGATTGGAATCCTCTGATCCAAGACTCAGCTCATAATCACTCTGCCCCATGCTTCTCTCTCATAGCATTTAGCCAGCACATGTATGTAGAGTACTTGGCACAGTACCTGCAGCACTCTGGGGGCTCGATAATGTGGACACTTCAGGTAGAGGGCTCAGCTGTTACTGCTGGCTCCCCCTCAGTTCCTCCCACTGAGATGGGAGGCTGGCCTGGTTCCGCATCCACAGGATTGCCTGCTCCAGCCAGCTGCTCCCTGGGAGTCCCCAAGCTTCTTCTCAGTGCTTCCTTGGAGGCACCAGGGTGGGGCATGGGGAAACCTCCTCCACCCAGCTAGGGGCTGGCAGAGCCCCTGCTCACCCTAAAGAAGGGGCTTCCCCGTGCTGCACCAGCTGTGCAGACACCCTCTTTGCTTCTACAAGGACAGGTCAGGAAGTGGGGCAATGCCAGGACCAATTAAACCTGCCAGGGGAGTTAAGGTCAGCAGAATGCAATTATGCCTGTTGTATCTAACAAGGCCAAAGGGAAGGTTTCTCCAGCCAGAGTTCACAGCTTCTTAGGCCTCTTGCCCTGGTTAGCTCTGCCTTCCAGGAGCCTGAGCTCCCAGGCTCATCCATCTCTGGGGGGGGGATGAAGTGGTTGGGAGTGAAGTGGTTAACTCCAACTAGGCACTGCTTCCTTGGCTCCTGAGAGGAAATCGGCCCAACAGGAGGCTTTAAAAGGAACTGCTCAGAGGAGACATTCCCTGCCTGACCCTCTCCCTGCTCGGCTGTGATGGAAAATCCAAGGAGTTGAGCAACAACCTTTCTGACTCCAAAGAGAGCAGCCAACTCCCCTCACAACTTTTCCTCTGGTCCTGATTTGAGAGCCACTCAGGGCTGTCATTAGCAAGTTGTTTGCTCTTGCTCTCTCCCACCTTGGGCCCTTGAGCCCAGGACCTTGGCAGTACCTCTCAGGCCTCTGGAAAAGCCATAAGTAAGGCTGCTGTCCTTATAGCAACCCTGTCCTTCCCACCAAGGCCGGGAAGCAGAGATCTATGGGCATCCTGTGTGGCAAACCGGACACTGATTTCTCTGGAAGCCCCATTGACACACTGTTCTGTCCCAGAACTATAGAATTTTATTGTTAAGATTATTTACTGAGTACTGTGCTCTGTGGCAAGGACTAAACTACTCACTTTGGGGTCCTAGAGATGAAGTTGGAGGAGAGCTACAGAATCACCATATACAAGGCTACTTCAAAAAATTCATGGAAAGATTCATATTACCTTTTAATTCTATTTTTCTATGAACTTTTTGAAGTACCTAATATTGCATTTTAGGTGAAAAAGTTTGTAAAAATTATCCATGGAGTGGAATCCCTCATTACAAAATATTTATAGAGAAAATACCTGAAGGATATAAATGGACATTAACAGCAATGGGAATAGAGCTGATTTTTATTCTTTGCCTGGATTTTCCAATTTTTTAAAAAATGGCCCTTTGTAATTCAGCAGATTAATAAATAATTCAAAACATATCAATATAGACACAAATTTCTTCAATTCAAGGCAGAAAATGGTAAGAGCGATAATGAGATATAAAACTGTGGAATTTCAGAAGCACTTTTGG